TACTTTAATAGGTAAATCAGATTAGTTTGTACTAATTTCAGAAGAAATTTGACTGAAAGAATTTACTTAATAAGTAAATGCTTTTCTTCACTACGCCCATGGTTTGTTTAGCATTTTGTTGTTAAAAATAGCTATTGGAGCGTTTTTTTTGTGGCAAAAAAGTTATTTCTTGAAGGAAGATAAGGAAATATCTCGTACTTATTTTAAATAGGAATTTAGTAGATAGTTTGCGAATGATTTGACCAAACGTTGTTGCTAAATAAAATAACTTGTAATGCTTTATTACATAAACTAACCATGGTATATTCCACAGCAGAAAGAGTTGAAATTATCGAAATATTTTTCGGAAATAATTAGTGCGCTAATAGAACAGCAGAAATATTTAATGAGCGACATGAGAACAGTAACGTGCATCATAAATATGTTTTAAAATTTGTAGCTAGATTTCGGGAAACTGGGTCAGTCGCCAATAAAAAACGCAACATTGAAAATCCCATAAGGAACGAAGCAATAGAAGTGGGGGTTTTAGGGCAAGCTTATGTAGATCCTACGTTAAGTACCCGCAAATCGGAGACTGTGTGTGGTGTTAGTCGACGTACTGTCCAACGGATTCTAAAGGCCCATAGTTTTCATCCGTATAAAATTCACCTGATACAAGAGCTTAATGAAGACGATTTTGATCGGCGATTACAATTTTGTGAAGATATGAGTAAACGAGTTACAAACGATGAACATTTTATATTCAACACTTGCTTTACCGATGAATGTTCCTTTTCTTAAATGGCGTAGTAAATCTTCATAACTGCCGATATTGGTCCGATTCTAATACCAGAATTTATCATGAGGTTCATACACAGCAGCCACAAAAATTAAGTGTTTGGGCTGGTATTTTTGGCGATCATGTAGTTGGTCCTTTTTTCATACCTGGAAATTTGACCGGTGAAATGTATTTGGAATTACTGGAAGACGTCATAGATCCTGCATTAACAGCCATAATTGAAAATCGGAATGATCGGCGGTACATTGCGAATAGGTTGAAGTTCCAACAGGATGGTGCCCCACCACATTACGCATTACGTGTTCGACAATATTTAGATCAGACGTTTCCAGATCGATGGATTGGTAGAAGAGGTGCCATTGAATGGCCCCCAAGATCGCCAGATTTATCACCTTTGGATTTCTTTATGTGGGGTCATTTAAAAAGCAAAATCAATGCTACTCAGCCAACATCATTAGAAGACCTGCGACAAAGAATTGTGAATGAGTGCCTTCAAATTACTCCTCAAATATTGCAAAATGTGCGGCAACGTTTTGACCAAAATCTTTATTATTGCATGGAGAGTCATGGTGGCCATTTTCAACATTTACTTGCCTAACGGCTCAGTTCATTCTTCATTTTTAAATGACTTTGCTGCCAAATGTATTGATCTCCACTAATGATGATGTATTAGTTTTATTTAAGCTTTAAATCAATAAATCTTCAAAACTACTGAACTGACGTACATTAATTTTATATCATTATAAAGGGAATTAAAAGACCTTTGAAATAAGGTATCACTCGACCCCCCTTTCCATTTAAGATTTTGGGGGTGGTGTCACCCCCGCTTATGGGGCTGCACGTGCTAACGTAATTTTTTGCCAAACTTGTGTCCCCCTCGAAAACAAAATCGATGGGTCTGAGCGTTTTTCAAAAAAAAAAGCTGAGCTGCCAGTAAATGCGTCTGTTTCGTTATATAGACAAGTTTGGTGTACAACCGGTCGTTCAGACGGAAATTAAAGGAGGTAAAATTGGCTAACTGGTTGCACCCGTGACTCAACCGGTGAATTAAAGGACACGCCTATATACTAACAAGCAGTTCTAAAGAAAGTCAGAGTATCAGAAAAGCAATTATTCTTTCACTTCAAGTATGACCTGGAAGTCATTTGACAGCAGTATAAAATTTACTGTAGAATCTCAATATCTGCACGAAACTGCTGTGCAAAATGGTGATTGTTATTTGATTTTACATACTTGACCTCCAAATGACCTCTAAGATCATTTTCTAGAACTTATTTGGTGTCATCCGCAAATAGTATTGGTGTCGTTTTTTAATAGAGAGATATAACTAGGTGCAATATGAAAATTTGAGACGTTCTACACAGCACTTAAGGCATATCAAAACATTATTTGTCACCCAGCTCTGTCTTCTTACAGACGTGGTGTTATCATTAACCTCATACTCAGCGTTTAATGATACGTTTCTCTGTGGTGGATAGTATCCGCTTGTATTAGGAAAGCTAATCATAACGAATGGTCACCCCACGGATAGTTCCCATTTTTTTAATACAAGGTGGATTTCATTTCGAAAAATCGTGCCAAACAAACAACTGAAAACTATGAGGCAATGCAGCTCTATTTTGCTATACATATTTATTGAGTGAGACTATCAACCAAGAATTGAATTCAAGATTATAGATGAATTAGTCATTATATCTCACAAAAAGGTGGTTTACCAATAAAGTTTTGCGAAAGTTTTAGGAATTGGCATATCAATAGATTTCGAAATTCTCACTTTGTTCTTCTTATATCTGTCACTCGCACCGCCAGATTGGAAAATATTACCACAAAAGGGTTTTTACGGTGTTTTAGAAAGACATGTCAATACTACTAGGGTAGAAAGTACATCCAAAAATAACAAAAAAAGTTCCTATAAATATGGGTCCAAAGATGCGCGCCTGCCGAGATACAGGGTGATGAAGCTTTATTTATAAAATTTAAAAAAATATATCTACGTAGCGGATAAAGATACCGAGTTAAGTTTTAGACTTTCGGCCTACACTAAACCAGGGGCGTAGAAACTGGTGAAATAGGAAACACCGTAAAGCCTAATATTGGAAACACTATATGGCATGTGAAGGGTGCTTTGGCACCTCATTACAACATTAATTGTGCGTGTTTTACTCTCAATCAGTAGCGTTACCATTCATTAAACCTTGCCTATGCATGCCACTGGTTTTCATGGTGTAGTTCTCCTGGTATTACCCAAGTTAGATTCTTCTGTTTGTCTAAAATCACAAGTAGTAATTGTGGAACTGATCAATTTGAGGTAAATCTCTATTATTTTAGTTCTGAGACATTCGTTTTTCGTAGCAGAAAATATCACAAATCGTTAGCAACCTCAGACGCGGATTATGAGGACGCTGTATATATAGAAGGCTTTCTACACTGTTCGTACTATGCCAGGTATTTTCCAAAGAGTCGGAAAGCCTTTGTGGCGTAGAGCACGGCATGGGTATCATGTAAGGAACCTATAAAACGTCAAGAAAAACCTATAAGATGTCATCTTGCAAGCTAGATAGTTTTTAGGGCGCAAACAGTCATTCCACGTTTGCTCATTAGGATCGTTGTGAACCTCCATCTAACGAGGAATCACTCAACTAAACTACACGCATTATTGGTTGCATATGTTTTGTGAGGCCAAATGGTCCTTGTGTGTAGTTTGTATCTCTGAGAAGAAAGTTGGTTGAATAGCAAGATCGCATCTAGATGATTATGTGTATTGGTCTGCATGTGTATAAAATCAGTGATATTTGCTGTGTGAGAAAATCATTACTGAATATGCTGCCAATGAAGTATATCTATTGGCTGTACCCGACGGGTTATTTTTATGTTGTGCTTTCTGAAGAGAGGTTATGTTCAAAGTTATGAATTACGAAATACTGAGGAGAATTACGGGAAGTCATCACCTCGCCCGCATTGTGTGTAATTACTGTTAGCATGTATATGGCTTGTAATTCGACGGTGTACAGTAAATATAATAATTTCTTATCTCTCTCATTTTTTAAATTCAGCAAATTTGTATATGTAATATCCAGAATGGATAAGAAAAAGTGGATTCGCAACTAATTTCTAGCTTTGAATCTCAATTAAGTGTATTTGAGGCAAGAACCCAATGTAATTATCATCAACACATACAACTTACAGCTTAGACCTCCAGTAATGCCATCTCAGAAGCAGATTTTACATCACATCAGAGCCAAAGATTGATTACAAGCCGTTTAGGCAACACGTACAACTAAGTGATAAGTTAATATCTTGTAGAAAAACCTACATAATGTCAAAAGAAAAACAGCATAATGTCAAAAAAATCGGCATAATGTCACCTTTCAAGATACGTGATACCCGTCCGGGCGTGTGTTGAATCCAGAAGTGATAATTTTCAACAGCTACTTTAGGTCGGACGTTATAGCATTTATTCAGATTATTTTTTGTTCCCAATGTGATGCCCCCATGAATTTAGAAAAGACGTCATAAGTTGTATCATATGTAATATTTATTGTTGTCGTGTTTAATTCATTGTTTATTAATTTTTGGAATAAACGTTTTATTGTTTTGAAGTTTCTTTATCTATAAAAAAAAATGAATATGCCGACAAAACCACTGGCATTCACGGGGAAGGTTTAATGAATAGCAAGCTTCTACGCTACTGAATTAATGTTGTATTGTTGTGCCATAGCTTTCTTGACATGTCATATAGTGTTTCCAATATCAAGCTTCACGGTGTTTTCAGAATAGGGGAGGCTAAACCTTTTCATAAAGATATTTTAGGATCTTACACCAAATATTCAAATCTATTTTTTTTTATAAAATGCACTTCTTTTTTCCGAAAAGGCCAGTGGCGTAGAAAATATTTCCTACTAGATGCCCAGGTACCCCAGTTTCTACGTCCCTGCTTTAGTTTGGACCGGAAAACTCTGTGTGTTTATTTCTTATGATCTACTCACCTCACGCCAAAAATCTTAACTCAGTTACTTTATCCGCTCCGTAGACATGTTTTTGCAATTTCTTAAATAAAACACCATCATCCTGTATCTCAGTAGGGGAGTATCTTTGGATCCATATTTATAGAAACTTTTTTTGTTATTTTTGGATGTACCGTCTAACCAAAAAATATTGGCACGTCTTTCTGAAACATTCTTTATGTATTGTAGTCTTGTCTAAGATACCTATTACATATAACCTGTAATGTCAGACCTCAATAATTTTGTTCTTACTGAGTTTGGAGATATGTATGTCATAACAAGTTTCGCTTGTGAGCTGTATTTCAAAGTTTTGTTAGTGGTCGCATTTGAAAAGACGTCAACATGAATATTATCTTTTGATTACTAAACTCACGCAATGGCGTCTATCATATCTAGTCCCATCTCTACAGCGCAATGAGCATGGTCTGGCCTAGCTTCTGGTAAACCGGAGACGCAATAGTAGCAGTCACCCAAAAGCTTGATGCGGAGGCAGTGATGTTCTGCTGCTAACTTATCGAACCTGAAAATCGAAGACATTTCATTTCGGTTATACAGTACCCTACATAGCTTTCTTTCTAGTGAATTGACAGAGTGACAGCTGGCACAACTAAGTTCCAAAATACTCTTGAGCTTCAGACCTCAATTATGTTTCTTCCAATCCTAAAGAGCGATCGACATACTTTAATATAGTCCGTTAAATATAATGCATTTGTATAGTAGTTAATATTCGATTATTTGTTCCCGAATTGCCATTAGTTTCCTTTGTATCGGACTATGGTTGTTTCGGATAATCCTAGGACTGACTGAAGGGGTTGCAATCGAAATTCTGAACTTGGGAATATTTGGATTTTGACTTAAATACCGAAAGTAAGACTTGGGTACAATGCTTTACATTTTGCAAAATCAAACAATAAAAGTAGTTTCATTCTTTCGTAAAACCGATTTATATAAACAGGATACTTTAGCAAATTCCTCAGATGATATTTTTGACCTTCACGCATATGGAAAAATTATTCAAATTCGTTTTCTCTTAGAAGCAATTTTTTTACCATAGCAATTTTCATGCTGGCAGAGAAGGCAAGATGCTCATCATCGTGATGTAGGGGGTTTAGTTTGGAGGTTGACATATTCTAATTGTGAATGTGGGCCACTGTTTTAGGTTGGTGGTCTTTAGCCTCTTATGATAGGTTCAGCACATTTAAGCATCTATTTCTTAATGATCTCGTGAATGTATAGCCAACTTGCATGCAAGTTAAATCGAATCTAGGTCCGAATTTACAAGCCAATACTATCCGGTAACAACCTATTTAAATCTTTGAATTTGATTTCCACTACTTGGACAGGTTAAATATTTTATAGCTATGCTGCTTCTATTAATTTTGAAGCACAAAAGAAAATAAGCAGGATCCATTAGTTTTGTTACTTCCAAATAAAATTGACAATCTATTAATCAATAGGAAATCTACTTGCAGGTCCTTATTGTATATTTTCTTCTTGAAATTAAGGCATATGTGGAATTCCATATGAATGCATTATTTATTTTGATTACGAAGCTCGAAATACTAATTAAACTTTGTGTTGAAATTGTTAAATGAGACTGGCAACTTACTGATCTGATGGCAGCAATTGGAAATAATACACATCAAGTGTTCAGAAATTCGTACCGAAATTCTCAATCATTGATCTTAATCAAATAGCGTTCTCCGTTTTTCTCACCGCAATAGTTTTGCAGAAGCTGAAAAATACTGTCACATCGTGAGTGTTGGGGGAAAATTCAAATTGTCACTAATGGACTTTGAAAGAAAAAACCGTTGTTGTCTTTATTGCTCCTTCCGAAGACTTCTTTAGTACAGTATCGTGGTGCATAATCGATGGTTAAAATATTTCCATCTCCCAATAAAACATCTTCTATAAACTTATGTCGATTCGGATAAAAGTCCTACGAACATAACCTAATCTACAGTAAAATTCCTGGCCTATATCTCTTATCTCTCAAAATTGATTGTAATCACTCACCTAGCGAATAATTCATTGAGTATCCGGACGAGCTCTTCCGCCGTGCATTGGTCGGAAAGGGTTGTGAACCCGCATATATCTGCGAATAGGATGCTGAAAATAGAAAAAGAGACTGATATTTAATATATGGATACCCAAGGGAGAACCGGATTTGGAAAGTTTCGGTTAAGGGACGAACGAAAATACGGATATTAAAAATAATAGGACAAGAGTAACACGTAACATTTTCATATATAGAGATATTCCAGGGCATCGAGAATACCGACATGCGTCAGAGCGAGGAGAGAACATTGGTTAAATATTCTATAGTGAAATCTTAAAAAGTTAATTTATACTGTTTTTAAAGACGTAGTAAATCAAGATAAAAAAATAAAAATGCTTTTCAATTTGATGAGTTTTATTCTGTTCAGGAATCCATGATGGACAAACATAAGTTAGAAGGTAGTGCAAGAGATACAGAAAGCGTATTTTAAATTGTTGTATCAAATAAGCGCCTCAAATTCTTAAAAGACCAGTGGGGTAATTGAAATGTTTCCAAAATATCTTAGTATTAATCCAAAAACTAATAGCGTCCTCTAGAAAGCTTCTAACAAGCACCAGTTGAGGAACATTAGTCATTAAAAAATGCTTATTAATATCAGCATAGTCGTTTTCAGGATTTGAAAGGTAAATCAATTTGTGTGAACATTTTGGATACACTCTATTTTGGAAAGGAGATTTTTTCCGGTCTATCTTTTCCACCAAATGGAATGGAATAATTTCAGAGACTTCAGAAACTTTGTGCATGTTGGAAAGGAGGTAAGTGAACCGAAAAATGCACTTGAAAAACTCCAGATTACAAGTCTCTGATATATTCTCCTGTAATATGCCTTGATATTTATATTCTGAATACAAAATTTCTCCAAGCACCTTTCTCCTAATACATGTCTAATATCGGGTTAAGAACACCTAAAAGTCATTGTCTTCTGCTACATATGCAACATGCCAAAATCGTATAACCTTTTTTTTTCTATTTTGATCACTTTCCCGTGAATTTGAATTTCTTTATTAATGATAGAGTATTGATTTCTAGGTCAAACACTTTTCAATGATTTTCTTTTGGAAAATTTCATAATTTATGGAACTATTGAGCTCGAAACTATCTAGTCCTGAAAGTATAATTTCACACACACTACGTATATATCCTTTTTTTTAGCGACTGAGTATTGTGTTAAAACCTTTTGGACACTAATTTTATAATATTTTATTAACGACTATCCCAGAAATTTCCTCATAAAATATCGTTGGTCCCTCGTAAAGTTGGTTTCTAGGGTCCGCCCATAGCTAACCAGTACTTTTGACATTGATTGATAGTCAACTGACTGTCGGTTATATCCTGCTGAAACCTTGGTTAAGGTGTATCGGTCCTTCGTTTGGTTTCCAAATTTTGGGATATTGGACTCCAATCACCAGTTTGTGGAGTAGTACCCTTTTTTGTACCTACCTTACCTTAGTTGTTTGTTTCGGTTCTTGTTTGGATGCTACTCTCTCCATTTTTATCGAACCTTAACCTCTTCAGCGGTAAGTTATTTTTTTATACTGACCAAGTGCTTTAACGCATGTCCAAACGAAGTTTGCTCAATACCTGCTTCCTTTTAGTGGGAAGGCATTGAGGAAAACCAGCAGCCGTCCTCCTCCAGCTTTATAGAAGTTGTTTTGTAGCCGGTTGTGGCCGATTTCTTGAGAAAGGAAACTCTCATGTAAACAGGTAAAATATCAGTTTAATTAGCTTCTTTATAAACATTCATATATTGATTATTATTGACTAAAATTCTTAGAGTGTCCATTTTGTCTGGCATTTTTCGTGTTCAAATATGAGACAGTGCCTACTTTGGTACCCTCTATTAAGCCATTACCGTCATCTTGATTTTAATTTTTGAGCTGCCCGAACTTTTTAGAACAATGGATAACTTTTTGAGGATATATTACTTTAATACATTTTTTTGCCGTCCCTTTATAATTTTATAAAAATGTGCATGGTTTTTCAAGTTCGAGTGTTTTAATGAGTAGGTAGTTTTTTCTCATAAAGAGAATAGAGAGTAGATTTTTGAGTAGTCTTCCTCTATCTAGGATTTTTTTACCTGCACGGTACTGGCCACTGGTTTTAACCAAAAAACCTGAACTTTTGTCAGCTGAGGTCATCTGGGCTGCGCCTAGAGCCGTGACTGGAAGAAGACAGCTAACCAGATAAGCTTAGGTTTGGGCGTTAAAATATTTGTAAAGCCTTCGTAACAGGCCCGGACTGGGACCATTTGGGGCCCTCAGCTAAAACCTGCAAAGGGGCCCTCTACCGGGGGGTCTAGAGGGCGTGGAAAATTTTGAAAATTAGGAGCTTGAAAAGGCGTTCTTTCGCTATTTTTGCACTTATAGAGAAGAAGAAACTCAGCTAGGTTTTTATACGAATATTATGATTTTCGACTTTTGTTGACTATATTATTTATTAAAATAAGAAATTCACAGTATTTTTAGGATACCACAAGACTGCAAAACACATGCTGTAGAACTGCCAATAATTACAACGGAGTTCAAAACAAAGTTCAGCATTTTATTCCCACCAAAGTATAATGAATTATGACAAAATTTTTTGTGTAATAAAAATAATGAGACACGGATTATAGGGATTAGAGAATTCTAACATTTTTTTAAAAATCCTGTGTAACGGTTTACAATGTTGTTATACTAGAATAGAAGGGGCTTAACTTAACTGATATGATTCGACATCTTACTCCACTAGCCCTAAAGTAACAGCTCATTTGTAAGCAACTCACTTGTTAAAGCTACTTCATCTATTATTCCACTTTTGTCCAAATCAGACTGGACATAGGGTCTAGCCCTAAAGACAACCAAACTCGTTCACATGTGACTTGGGTACAAGGTATAGCAAGAATAAATTTATATGCAATATACAGGTTGGTAAACAGTCCAGATTGAGTAAGTTCGAACAGAACAGAAAAAGCACGTGTCAAATACTGGAAACATTTTCTATTTTCAGACTAGTAGATGTCAGCATATCTTCCGCTCCTTGGGATTTGTCCAAATCGTCTTCTTCGTCACTACACCATCTGCTGACATAGTGCTCAGTGGACTCTGCCGCTATGATGATGTTGTATTGTTGTGCAAAGTGTCGCTCTGTCAACAGCCGACCTCTTTCAATTGTACTTTACAGGGCTTCTGTCGGAAATGTTTCGAGTGAAATTTTTGGGGTCCAAATAAAAGCAATCTTGTAAAACGTATTTGTTTGAGCAAAATCTTTCTTCAATACTCATCCTCGCACAATCTAAAATATCAATATATATATAGTTAATTGGGAATTTGGCAAATTTTTAGGCTTAAGTTGACTCTTTTGACGATAAAACGAAGCCTTCGGCATTCTCTATGGAGCCTTCATCAGGATTTCGTCGTTGAGGTTGCAGCCACAAGGTGTTTCAAAAAGAACTTGTTATAAATATAGAAACAAAAGGACTAAGGCATTGGGCTTGTTGATAACGACAGATACCTTCGTTACATGTTAAAAATATCAATACACCTGAACATGTTAAAAATTATTAAACATGAGAAGACATTATAGGGAAACAATCGGAATGCCTTTCGGAATTTTAAGTTCTTTAAAAACACGAATAAAATTAAAGAATTCAGCTGAATTTACATTGTCTTCACTGATTCAGAATTCTTTATCAACAATTATTGATGAAAGAGCCTTATGTTTGCTCCACCACCTCCTTGCTCCTGATTTTTGCAAACTGTACAACTTGTCATGAACAATATGTTTTCTTTTTGGAGTTGCTGGACGTTTTCTACTTTTGAAAACGTAAACAAAACATTACCGAGAAGACAAAATAACTTCTCACAAGACAAATACTTTATTTTGTACATTATGTGTGGAGGGCCCTCTCGGGCCGGGGCCCTCCGCGGTCGCGGACCTGCGAACCTGGCCAGTTTGGCCTAGCTGGGTTCGTATACCACGGTTAACATTTTGCAGGGTTAATTATCATGGTTTAGTAATCTTATTGTCCGGCAGATTTTAAATAATATCTTTTATTAACTTGCACTTCAGTGGTGGAATATACAAATATATGTTATTTAATTGGTTAATATTCTGTGATTGTTCTAAATCTCTTACGTTTTATTTGGCTCTCTGTACACTTAATTAGTCTACGTTATTGCTATTGGATTCTTTTCTGTTGTGTGGGTGGTCAGGCAAAACAAGTTCCGACTAACATCTCGGGGTTTGTGGCTTAATCCGTCTTGAGTCACTGGCGCTCTTAACCCCCCTCCCCTGCTATAAGCTTTATTGAGCTAGGACCTAAATTTGCATGCCACTAGACAGCTTTTTTGCATTGACTCACCATTTGAATTCATTTACCGTGTTGTATTAATTTCCTTAATAATTAAAAAAAAGGAAGGAGGAAACACAACAACATTTTCTTTATTTATAAAGAATGGTGTGGCGATATACCTATCTCAAGACAGGCAGCAAATTCGTAATTTTTACCTTGCTGCTTTTTGCACATTGCTAATGAAAGCGTTGGGCAGAATATTAGACCGAATCTATTTGAATTGCGTCTCTCAACCAATCACGTACAACATTTTTTACAATCGTATAGGTCTAGTCCTAGTCATTTGGAGCCAGATGGTGGATGGCAGACAAGAAAATATGGGTCTATTGGAAAACCCACTAGTGTGATGTGCAAGATGGAAAGCAAACAGATCCTATTCAGCCTGTATTTAGCTTATGCAACTTTTGCGTATAACGTCAATACTGGTAGCATAGTGAGTACCTATTGCTCCCCTTAGTGACCTAGAAGCGACCATTGTTGTTCAGACCTGTCAGGAAGCTGTGGCTTCGTGCTGCCTTACGAAGAGGTCGGTAGCACCGCGACTGGCGAAACTATTCATAATGTGGCGTGTCACCTTTATTCTTCCTACAGACTATTAGGCGCAATGGATTGAGACAGCAGGTCGAAATATTTTTTTTAGCCATCTGAGGTATATAAATAAAAGATTTGAATCCCGAGGATGGTAAAAAGGAGGGTTGAAACTTAGCGGGGCTTTCGCCTAGTGTATAGTATTTGGATTTCCAGAGAGCATCGCCTTCATTTAACCATAAACACACGTGTCCTCGAGCGCTCGCTACTATTTATCTGCTATGTGCATCGTTAATCTACTTTATAGGAATTTTTATAGCTCCATCAATCATTCAAATTCCAATAAAAACCGTTTTCATCGGAATCTTTAGTAATTTGTAAGAGCCGCATATGAAAGCCCTTAATCATTCATTATACGAGGATACCTGGAGAAGCACCTCTTTTATGGGTATTCAGGAATACAGTTCGCCAAAATGCAATAAAAGTTATTCACTTTCTCGTTACAAGAATTGAACCCTTGACTTTGACCGTTCTCCACTGCCACTAGTCAGTCGCAATTCGGCTGTGAAATAACAAGATCTTATTGCGCAGATTAGAACGGCACTGGTATCACGTATCTTGAAAAGTGACATTATGCCGACTTGTTTTGACATAATGGTGTTTTTTTTGACATTATGTAGGTTTTTCTACAATATATTAACTTAGCACTTAGTTGTACGTGTTGCCTAAACGTCATGAGGCGTGTTATCAATCTTTGGCTCTGATGTGATGTAAAATCTTCTTCTGAGATGGCATTACTGGAGGTCTAAGCTGTATGTTGTATATGTTGATGATAATTACATTGGATTCTTGTCTCAAATACACTTAGTTGAGATTCAAAGCTAGAAATTAGTT